TCGATTAATTGCTATTTGACTGGACTTATTGAATCATACTTTTTGTTAAGTAAATTAATCTCTTATGACAACAAGCTTAGCATTCTTTCCCACTTTCCCTATAGATACCATTCACTGTTCTCGTTCCTTTTCAGCATGCGATACATGCCCGAAATTTCCCCCGCGCAGGAAAATATTATCTTAAGAGTCGCCCTGGAGATCCCGCTCGTGAGCATCCGGTGTTTACCATCCAGTTCCCTGCTCTTCCAGCGTTGTTTACCCCTTGCAAATTTGTTGGCTGCCGTTTTAGGAAGGAAACTTCGCCTCGTGTTTTCTTTCTTCACGGATGATGTCTCTGGAATAAACCTGTCGAGGAATTCCTTCGAAAAGAGGAGATGTATCGAAGATATGATGATACCAGTACATCACCGGTACAGCTAATCTGGGCATCTCCTTATCGTGCTTCTTGAGGCTGTGTTGACGAGATGCCATTGGCATAAGGCCTATTGATATTATCCGCCATTGCCAGCAGAAAGAAGAGCACATTCTGAGGCGCATCGTCAGATTCTGGCAAATAATCCCAATATTTTCATGGTTACATCCAAACGTGTCAGGGTTACAAAAACGCAGTTGTTTCTTATTTTACCAAAGTTATATAGAATCAATATTAATGTATTGAGGTTTTTTAATTGAGCAAGGATTAAAAGATGACCGAAGAACACGAAGCTTGAAATGGGGTCGCCATAATGAGAATAGTGAGACAATGTATGGCGTTAAGCCCATGTTGTACCTCGGTACCAAGAAACCTCATTTGGATGGATCGTTGACGATCATCCTACTTCCTGCTATTATAATGATGTAGGCCTATTTACATTTTCAGTTTGGGCTTTGGTTATAATTATAGGGGGACCAAAGAAGAAATTCATAGATATTCCTTGCAGTTTTTCTATTATCTTTTTTAAACTATACGACTGGGTTCTAATTAATGTCATCATTATCTTCAGCAGCAGCGTGTGACAATTTCGAAACACGTCTATACCAGTCCATTGGCAATAGTCATACAGCTTGTCACAAAATCCTAAATCCATTCCTTAACCATTACATCGTCCTTGTTTTCACGAAGTGACGGTAGTGAGGAAAACCGTAACGCAAAGTGAATGCAATTTTTTTTCACTACCGTCACTTCGTGAAAACAGCGACGACATATGTCATCTTATACGCATTTTTGTTAAAAATATGTAAAGCAGAAATACATTTATTATTGTATTAGATTCATTGTCATTCCAAAAAACAATAGCGAAATGGGATGTCTGCAGAGTACGGGACATGTATGTCTTTTGTCAACAGGAGTAAATTTTCCACTTTGATTCCAATCTTTTCTGTAAGCCCAGCAGAGTGAGAACGTTGAGCAGGTATCTATCGGTTCAGGCCCTTGAGTCCTAGGGGCTCTGAGGGTTCGAGTTACCATCCCCCAAGCCTATAAAGAAAGTAGCAATGTATGAGTCACCTTGATGGTGCCGATCTAAACGACCACAAAATCTTCACTGATTTGCAAGGGGTGATCACTGATCACTGCCCCAATATAGTATCGGTTAAAGTAATTGAGTTCGTAATGATTTCGTGTATTTATTCTTGCATAATCCACCAGGACATGCCACTAAATCAGGCTATTGAGAGCAACCTCATTTTTCTTATTCTCAAGTTTACGTATTTTGTCATATAACATCATCACAGAACTTAGTGATAAAGTTGAGTTCTGGTCATGCGATTGCATTGTGAAAGAAACGTTTTGGAATCATCAAAATGATAAGAAATTTGGCCCAGTCTTCGTAAAGTTACAAGCACTGTACACAGAAAAATGTAAATGGGTCTACACGAACATGTGGCATACAAATCCGTCCCGATTGATTTGAGGTTACATGCCATATTTAGAATATTAAGGCATTTGAAGAGCCATGCTTTTCAGGGAGCATTTTTTATCTGACGTTCTTCCATACTTGCATAATTCAGTGAAAACGCACACAAATTATTTTCAACCTTCTCTTTAATTAAGTAATTATTTTAATGACACCATTCCGGATTCACAATATTATCAGCCATTACTATCATCATGATAATTATGCTGAAATGAACAGTCAATAAGCGAGAAAGCCACATTTAGTGGGAAAATTGGGTCGGTAACGGACAGTGCCGATGAGCTATTTGCGTTTCACGTCGAGAAGTAACGTAATTGTTTGCTATGCTATCGACGAATCCGACGTTCACATACACTTAGCTATACGGCAACGTCTCATGGTTCATTGATATTAGCTGCAATCGTATTTATTTCCATTGTATTTCAAGAAGCCATTTTCTGCTTTTGGAGTTCAGGATAAACTGTTTCATAGTCGTAGTTTATCGAAGTGCAGTATTTTATGTCTCATGTCAGATGACATTAAATTTACAGGAGACAGGCTCTTATATGCGCTGCAGAATAACTTTAGTAGGGAAATCGGTCCTGGTGAAAGTAAGAGAAATGCCGAACTGTATGCATTGATTTTCATTGATTCCCTTACAAATACACCTTCATCCGATTAGTTGAAACGGCACATCTTCTCACGATAAAGCACCTACAAAATACGACTGTATCCTAGGAATAGGCATGATAATATCAATCCGTGTTGACGTTCCTATCTGACTGTGCGCTTCTCTCACAGAAAGCTCTACTTTTCAAGGTTGCTATGGCAACTATTTGTTCCGTATATAATATCGTTGATTGCGTTCATTTCTCTGTTTGACCCCATATTTTCGGACGTGCCGAGTGGCGGTCTTACTTATTAAACCAAACTGTATCGTGTTCTTCTTCCTTTGTTCGAATCTATAAACAGCAGGGGAGAAGGAGGTCCAAGAAATGGAGACGCAACGGAAGATAAAGATAAAGGGGAAGCAGAAAAAGGAGGAAAGAAGTGAAGAAGAAGAAGGAGAAGAAGAAAATTAAAAAGAAGAAAAAAGAGAAAAGGAAGAGAATGAAGGGGGAAAGGGCAGACATTCCCTACCCCCTCTCTGTCTCTCTCTATCTCTCTCTCTCTCTCTCTATGTCATTCTTTCTTCTTCACTCTATCATATCCTTCAATATTTCTATCTCTCCCTCCGTCCCTATTTTTATCTCACAATTTTGGAACTGTTTTTTCCCCCACCATCCATTCCCCCTCCCCCTCCTTCCCCCTCGCATGTTTCATTCAACCCCTTTCACCCCAGACTTCACTCGTTTCATCTATTTGAAATATAGCGTGCAAAGAGGATCGCCTTCCGAAATTAATTAACTACAAATAAAAAAACGTTCATCCAGGGGCCCCCTCAAGTACGTACATCAGTCGGGCCGAGTGGGTTTGCTAATACAAAGCAGGAAAACAATTCCCACTTTACAGCGTCCTCTTTCTCTCCCCTCCTCGTTAAAATATGGATTGTTCGCTCATTACCCGCCCAAAAGGAAGAAAAATTGATCGTCTTCGTTCTGACTACTTCCAGCGATTCTAATTTAATTTAGTTGTAATTGATAAATAAAAAGGTTGAGGAGACAGGGACGTAGCCAGAGGGATGGGTGTTGGAGAGGGCTTGTGCCCCCTCCCCTTTTCTCCCTTTGGTGAAGGAAAAAAATTGTCTGTATCCCTCTGTAATATATTGTAAAAGTAATCCTTGTTCGTTCTTTTAAAAAAATTATTCTGGAATATTGTCGGCTGAATTGTCCCCCCCCCCTTAAAAAAACCTGTGGACCGACATCTTTGTATCTACACTATGATCATGAATGTTGTTAGTAGACAGTATTGCATGGTTCTATTGATTAGCTGGCTGTAGAGAGAGAACATAATGAGAAGATATATAAGGAGGGTCGACGGGAGAGTAATGAGATGAAAAAGGGGGAACGAGGTAGAGGGAGGGGATAGAAAGAGGAGGGGAGATAGAAAGGGAGACAGAGAGAGAGAGAGAGAGAGAGAGAGAGAAGGGAGATGGTGATGTTGGGTATTCCTTTAATATTTTACACGCAGCACATGTGAGTCGTGTAGACATTCATGGACTTGTCCTAACAACTCGATTAACTCGCTTATATATAATGATGTACACAAAACATAAATATTCCGCCTATCTTATGATATTTGTAGATGTTAGTAATATCTAATTCCGAATATAATCACATTAGATTACAGACGGATTCTATAACGGATAAAATCCCCCCCCCCCCATTCCCCCTTTAACAAAATACGTTGGACCAAGCAATGTGTTAAAAACTGGATATCAAGACTTTTGTTGGAAACCAAAATCAACCCCCCCCCCCCTTTTTTTTTCCAGACAATCCTAGATCTGCCTTTGCATTAATGGCTACTCAATATGACTTGAATAAACAAAGAACAACTACGGAAATGAGCCAGTGAATGCGAAATTTGATGAAATATCCACCCATCATCATTCAGCTTACTAACCATGAGGATACGATGTCTTGAAGCTCTTCAAGAAATAATTTTTTGTACATTTTCAGACAAAAATAAGTAGCGATAACATTGAAATCATCGAATTGAAAGAAATTAAATAGAACAGAATTGATTGAAGAAGTGTATTTTTTTGTTGTGTATCATAAATTGAATAAAGCACGTGCACACAAATCGAATGTTCTACAACGTAAACTTCAATAGAAATGTCATTTATTTTTGTTTATTTATTCTTCGATTGATGAAATTAATGGAAAGTGATGAAATCAAAATGTTTACTCTTCATATAAGAAAGATTTTGAAAAACAACTAAAAAAATGATGGGGGTGGGGGTGGTTCCTCCGCTTCTTAAATTGGCTAACAAGCTAGGGGGTTACCTGAACCCTTAGAGCCCCTAGGTTTTCAAAGGCCTGAACCGATAGATACCTAAACTCAACGTTCTCATTCTGCTGGGTTTACGGAAAAGATTGGAAAATGAGAATAGATGAGGTGGGGATCCCAAGGACAGATTCATTTAATTTTGATTAATTTTGTGTTCAATTCATCCTCTTTCTATTACAGGTTGACGTCACCAATTGCACAGAGCGAGCCGAAGATGGCGACACAATATTACTCACATACAACGTAAGTAAAGACGGTGTCCTATAATTTGTTTTCCTTTTTTCCTTTTTTTTTGTTGGAGGGTGGGGGGGGGGGGGGTTATTACACAATTACTGCTTATTTTCTGTTCAGAAATGTTCCTATTATTATTGTTCATACTCGGTGAACTAGAAATGGTCTATACTACATGTGCTTGGAAAATACGTATAAACCAATTATCTACAGTTGTTTAGTCAGCTTTAGTGACCTGTCATACGTATAGTAGTAAGAATTTTGTCCGTTATTTCTTTCTTTTGGTGAAAGGGCAAACAAAAATTACTGTATTAACCTTCACGAATGAAGTAATATTACTGTTACCTTGATGTCCTAAAAAAAGAAAATTTGTGTGCGCGCGCGTGTGTGTGCTTGTTTGGTATGTTTTTTTCTTTCCGTCTTTCATTCATTCCTTCATTCTACAAACGCATTTGCATAATACATCCCACTTCGTTGTTCTTCTCCAGCTTCCGAGCAAGAAGGTAATCCCTAATGAAATCATCACGACTTATTTTTCTAACCATGTCATTTTTTATTTTCTGATTTATTTTTATTTTTATTTTTTAGGGTACGTTTGAAGATGGCGTCTCGTTCGATGCAACCAAGCCGGGTGCTTCAATGAATCTGACCTTAGGCCCTCACTCATTCAGGGATTTAACCTCGGACTCTATGATGCCTGTATCGGGTAAGAAATGGCTGATGACTATCTTTCGAATGTCGGGCTCTGTAAAATTTCAAAATGTGGTGGTAAATAGATGTTTTGGAGTAAACTTTCGTGCCACATGTGCGTAGCTCATGTACGCATTTCTATGTACAGCACAGTTCATGTGATATTAATTTTGATCGAATCATTTTATTATTAATCACAGAAATAGAAAACACATGACCGGTACTCAACTTTATCTTTAACGCAGCTAACCAAATCAGCATTTGTTAAATATACTTGTTTGGTTCAGCTTATATCACTTCACATCGCAAGTATTTACAGATCTGTTATACAAGAAAAGTCGCACTTTGTCAATTCAAGAATAATATTTCCCAAAGTGAAAGCTTGATATACTTCATGGATAGCTCGTATACCCTTAAATTAAAAGAAATACAAATCAACATAATCACCCGTGTACCATGGAATGATCCGTTGCTGAATAAATAAAAACTGACCACTTAACAAATATTTGTTAATTGGTTTCACAATAATTAGGTTAGAAAGTATTTTTATCTGGTAATGCGCAGATTTGATACGAACTATAGTATACCATGCCATTCAGTGATTTTTTTTAATGATTGGTTTGCAGACAAACTCGACGGATATTTGTTCCTTATCGTCTTGGATACGGTGAAGCCGGGGCAGGCGGAGTCATCCCACCTCGAACCGACATCATCTTCCTCGTCGTAGTACTCGACATCTTCAAACCGGACTACGTGGGGTTCAATTACGAGAACACGACCGAGCTCATAGACATAGACGACTTCGACGATGAAACTGATATCGACCACGGGAAAGGGAAAGGCGACCGCGACGGCAAAGGACGAAATAATCACGTCAGGAGACGTCCTCATCGTGGAAGACCTTTCTGGTGGTACGTGCAGTTCCTGGCCATTCCCGTCCTCATCATCCTACTCATCGTCGACGCCTATTATCTGTACAAGATTTACTTTCCACACGGTCGGGTCAAGTTCTACAAAGTCAGGGACCATGAACCTAACGATATAGTCAACACTCTCTGAAATACATCCATGTTTTCTTATCTTATAGGGGGCCATGCCTGTCTTGGCTAGGCACTGATCTACAGCCTTGTACTCTATGTGCTTATCAAGAGTTGCCTCCACAGTGCATCACTCACGGTGCCGTTGTCCTGACTTTTTTTCTTGATTTAAAGTGGCTATAACTTATATCCGACGGCGCAATAGAGAGTCTGTTCAATCCTCAAGTCTGATGTCTACAGGGTCCCTTTAAAAAAACATGTGATTGTCATGTCTCTCGAAGCGTGCACCTTTGCTGCAAGTGCCATTTAACTCAAATACATTCATGCAACTATCTATCAAATTTACTAATTTTATGCGGCATCCTGATGCACGCGTGGTTCATTCATCGGACATTCCAGTCAGAAGGTTTTGAGTTCCGCATCCTTGCTTGGTGCTCATGTCCTATAAAAGGGCAGTTTTCCAATATTTGACACTCTGTAGCAAGTATTGGCACGGCATGACTGTTTAAAAATACTTACTATGCATTGTGCAATGAGAAGGACTAGAGTGAATAATTTAGGTGTGGCAGATCTCTCGCAGATCCATGTCTGCCGTTTCGGAATCTGCCTTGTATCTCCCATGCTCTTCGCCAACGGGCTTTGATCTCTTTTCGTTGGCTAAGTAAACCATGAAAGCCATCAAGTCAGCCACAAGTCCGTCAAAATAGAGATTTTTTCTTTCTTTTACAAAGCACACAAATTCTATTTGAAGAATTACTTGATAAAAAATTGGGGGAAAATTGTTGTCGTCTTGAAATTTTAGTACATTTCACGCCAGTGGCGTACGCAGGATTTTTTCAAGGGGGGGGGGGGGGTTTAAACTCGGGTCCAAAATTTCGCAACGACTCAGGAAAATTTGAAAATCGCGCCGGCCAAAAAGTCGCTCAGTGGGGGGGGGGGGGGGGGGGGGGGGGGTAAGCGGACACTTTTTTTTGGGGGGGGGGGAGTCCAAAAAAAATCGCAACGACTCAGCCAGCCGAAAAGTCGCTCAGTGGGGGGGGGGGTCCGTTGGGGGGGGGGGTAAGGTCACCTTTCTTAGGTCAGCCATGGAGGTATTTTTTTTTTTTTAATAATTAAAAAAAAAAAATCCAAAGGGGGGGGGGTTTTAGGGATTTTTTAGGGGGGTTTACACACATAAAAATACCAAAGGGGGGGGTTTAACCCCCCAAACACCCCCCCTGCGTACGCGCCTGTTTCACGCTGCATTTTTGAGAGACTTTAACCGGTAGAGAATGACTAGCTACCATCATTTGGTTTGTAAAAACTCGCCCTTTACATTTTTCTTGCTACTTTCTGACAAGTTCAGGTGGGGTAACGAAAAATAATTTTCCAATGTGTGTGTGGAGTGTGGGTGTGTGTTAAGTGTCATGACAGAGTGGATGGGTCGGTGGGTGTTTTTGTATATTTTTTAGCGTTATTTCTCGATGATTTTTTAAAAATGAAAACCTCAAAGGTAATGTCATTTTTTTGTTCCGGGCGTGTCAATGTTATCTAGGCATGAAAAAGTAATTGGATAATACTGATTTTGAAATTGAGCTTTTAAAAGCAATGCCGAAAAGGAGCACAACTGTTCGGTCGACCTGCATGGCGAAATGGAAAAAAATGCTTTCTTTTTGGATAATAATATAAAGATATTTCCTAATTATTGAATTCATCTTGTAGCTGTTGTAAAATCATTTTGCTATCATGCACTGGATATGACAATAATACCCTTTTTCAAAAATTAATGACATTACCTTGCAGGTAATTTTGTTTGTTAATAAAACATTTTTGTGAAGTATTTGACAGTTTTTGCTGTGTGTATCTCACCTTGATATTTTAGGGAATTTAAGCACATTCGTAGTTAGACCAGTTATTCTAGGGTAAGAATTAGAAAAAAGGTTTACTGCGTACTATTGCTGCAGTTGATATATCACGTTATGAGGTCATATTTGTATAACTCCTCATGCTTTTATCATGAGATTCGGTAAGTTGCTGACAGGAAGAAGGTTTCGTGCGCTTTTATACAAATTTGCATAATTTGGTTTTAACAGACGTGTATCAATCAGAAATGATTATTTACGTCTGGGGACCGTCCTTTAACGTCGCCATCCCAAAGACGTGACTCAGTATCGAACCGGGATCGCCTGAGCAAGTTTGAGGGCAAAGACAGAGAGCTGACCAAGTGAACGTGCCGCTAGACCAACTCCCACCTCCCGATAGCTGATATAAACGTTGGCTAAACATAAGGGTTAGAGGGTAACGCGATACTACAGTGTCGAAAGAAGGAAAAGAATGTGTACAAGTTGAGGTCAGATAGATCGTGCTATGTCCTGAGACGCCTGAATTTGATCTGAAAAATACACTGCATATAAATGAAAAAAATTACGATGTACACAATTCTCGTATTAATGATTCAGATTTCTTTGAAAAACTAAAAGAAAACCTTGAAACATTTTAAACTTATACTGTTGGCATAATATTTAGTCTATTGCAAATGTGACCTTTGTGCACGTGAGGAGAAGGAACAAAAGAAAGAAAGAAAGAAAAATCAGTTCAAACTCCATGCAACAAAGAAAAGAAAAACGTAATACGAAACATGCTTAAAGATACTATGTCCCTTTTGCAGCCAACATCAAATTCTGTAGAACTTTGCAGGAATTATGAATATGTCATGTATGTTCTATCTGTCAAATTTAAACGTTAGCAGTGTCCTCATATTCAAATTATGCAAGGAAACCCGTTTACTTGCTAGACTTCACTGTCAGACACTATTGAGTGACTGACTGGCTTTTTCATCTTTGGTAATGACATATATAAAATGAGCTGTAAAGGGTACATGAGCATTTGTCTACATCAATAACCCATTTCTTGTGATGGCCAAAATTTGATTGAATCTTTGCGCAGCATAAAACATACGACCATTCGGTACAATGGTCTGAAAAATCAGACTATTACTTACTGGCTCTATATCTCCTAAGTCGATTCAACAAATAGTCGTTATTTTTCCACTTAAACACATTTTCAAGCCCCCCCCCCTTTTTTTTAAGGGAAGTTCTAAATTAGTATTGTCTTTCAAATGCCGTTGGAATTTAACCTTTTCATTTTTTTGGCCTGCAAATGGGACGTAGTACCTTTAACAAGCGAAATGACAATTTATCGTAATATACGTAGAAATGTCCATGTTCACGGATAATACAATGCAATGAAAGAGAAAAGAGACGAAGAGTGAGTGAGAGACAATATTGGTGAAAATTAATACCTAAAGCAAAAAGCAAACGAATGACCATGAAGAGCAAAATATTAATCATGGCTTTGTAAATAGCAGTGAGGTTTAGATGGGTTTTTTTATCACATGATCTATCATTTACTGTAAAGCTAATCCATTTACTGGTTCTAGTTTTGAGCGTTTTTTACTCTAAATTTTGGATGAAATTGAGCGGTAGTGTGCCTAGTATGCTGATTATAAACAAGATGTGTGGTGTAAGTGTGCTTTTATACCTCTAAACTTTGAAGTTGTTGTTCTCATCAGTGTATATACTTTAGTTTGGAATATGAAATGTTTTCTATTTGTATTATATTGTACATGTCGGTAGTGTGTTTGTAATCGGTCAATGACCATTGCAATGTAATCTTGATATGTAAGAGCCAATTAGCGTAAAGATTCTAATCATACTTTCCGAAAACACCTGTGACCCTTCAACGTTTGAAATATAGGGCACAAAAAATGCAGATTATCACAAAGAGCACTTTTTCTGCTTCAAATCAATTTGGGAAATGTCGTACCCGACGTGGTCATACTTCGTCTAATACCTGTATCCTTCTTCACCAAATATTAGACATAGCATTACTAATTAGGAGAAGTAAATCTAAGTAGGATACATCAAGTGTCATAAATCATAACAGGCACTATAACAGATACAACCTGTATGCGTGGTACGTAAGTGGCGCTCTTCCATTTCTCACATCTGTGATGATTGGGCTATTCCACTAGTGTATACATTTCATTGTAATGATGACAGCAATGGAGTAATGAAGCTGACGATAGTACTAATAAGAAGAAGAAGAACAATAGAATAGAAGAATAGTTATAATCATAATAATAGTGGTTATGTCATATATATAAATCTGTCCGTATGTGTGTATATATACCCACGTACACGTAATATTTAAAAAAATCATAAAAAGATCATATTCATTGGTGCGGCATTTATAAAAAGAAGATAAGAAGATGATTCAAATTTCTTAAGTTGCCCTGTTACAAACGTTGGTTGATTTAATACGTGAATTCTTCGATGTGAAATGTCATACTGTCGAAGGTTTGTTTTTCCTGGTTAAAGGAAAATGAAACCCAACATACTTTAGCTGATAGCCTTATTAAAAATCATGAGCCAGTCAAAAATATCTTGAAATTTTCCTGTTTGATTACTTAGCAACTATTCTGACATAATTATTTCAATCAATATGGCAGCTTCCATGTGGCAAATGGCCAGCAAGGACACTGCAAACTTTAGAGAGATTGTTTCCCTTTCTAAGTAGTCAAATAGGAGTAATTTCAAGATATTTTTCACTGGCTCACAATTTCACTGACTTACAGGTTCTCTGCTAAAGTGTGTTGGATCTCATATTCCTCTAAAAATTTGTAATAAAAATCAGTCAGCAATGAATTTAGACTATAGTCTGGTTTTATTTTGTTTTTATTATTTAACATGGATGAATAAAAATCAATATCATAATACTGATTACAGATTTTCTAAATCGACGGACCGGTTCGTAATTGGCATGTTATCAAGTAACTCGTGAAATAACCACTAAATTTGAAACGTGAATAATTCACATCTGAACATTTCAGGACAACCATTCTCAATAGAGTGATCTTGGTCTACCCTCCCCATCCCTTCCATTAAAAAAAAATAACAATTGTTTTTTTTTTTTAATCGCTTTTCATATCTGTTGCGCACGATGCGTCATTTTGATTGCGTCAATACCGTCCTGCGCTAATTATCCCTGTGAACAAATGACGCTCCAGGTGCAACGGGTATAGTGATCACCATATGAATACTAATATTAAATCAGGGTAGTTCGTTCACAGATTTCCAAGCAGAACAAGATACATGCAGTTCAAGGACTTTGATCTCAAGCAAACATACAGCCAGGGAAAAAATACTTTAAAATTTTCGGGGGCTACTTTTCAAGCTTGCTTGCATGAAATTAACACTCTTTAATTTGTTTTGCATTGAACTTTTGGGGGGCTCTTTTATGACTTTCAGTGGCTCTTTTTGTCATTTCGGAGGCTAATTCGCCCCTAGCCCCTGTGTATTTTTTTCACTGATATAGCAATGATCCATATGCATAGTTGAGACGAACCATTTATACGTGTCAGGACACTGAATTAGGCCCCCCCCCCCTTCCCCCCCCCCCCCCAAAAAAAAAAAAAAAAATGTTGTATTGCCCTTTAGGTGCAAAAACATGGGCCGGTCGGTCGGAAGTCTTTTTACTTTTTTTATTTGTTTTTTTTCGTCATCGGGCTGAAATATCGCAGTTTTGAATGCGTTCATTTTCTAAAAAAAATATACAAAGAGAAGAACCCTGTAGGATGCGAAAGTTCATATATATAATTGAACGAGCAAGTGTGCGCTTGTAAAATGGCAACTGGCTGGATTGCTCCCCAGGGAGTGGAACATGTACATACATTGTGTGCGGGTAAGCCTGAATCCGATGACCGGGTTTATAATATATCTGTAAAGCGCTTAGGCAAATAGTTGGATCGATGTTTTGAGCGCTACATAAACACGGAATATTATTATTATTATTATTAACTACAAAGGATGTAAGAGGGATTGAAAAGAGAGAGAGAGAGAGAGAGAGAGAAAGAGAGAGAGATTTGGAAAGAAATATACAAAGAGAGGAACTGCAAAGGAAAATAAAAGGGAGAGAGAGAAAGAGAGAGAGTGTGTTGGAAAGAAATATACAAAGAGAGGAACTTCAAAGAAAGGGGAAAAAGAGGAATTGAGAAAAAAAGATAAAGTAGAGAGAGAGAGTTTTGGAAAGGAATATAAAAAAAGACAAAAACTACAAAGGAAAATAAGAGGGAGAGGGGAGAGAGAGCGAGAGAGAGAGAGAGAGGGAACTTAAATAAGGAGAAATATTTCGACAGAATTATCAAAGAAATAATTAGACTTTGTAAAATTCACAAGTGTTCTAAATTTCATAATTTTTGTTTTTAATACCAGCATAATGGCGAACTAGCAGTGCATGCTCACCAATGAACGTAAATGGCGGTATGCCAGTTGAGATCGCCATGACGTGATTAGCACGCGAACATATAGCATCCCACATCACACCATCAGAACATCCCTGTGTCGCACTGCATGCATTTCATCTATATGCAGCACATTTCAAGCGCCTCTAACACAAACACTGACCACAAGTAGTCAGAGCCTTTGTAATGCAGCAGAGAAGCACATGTGGAACCCAAGCTGTAGGTCTGGTAAGATATTTGCTAATATTTCGTTATTTTTACCTCCGATTTTTAATTTTCGTAGGCAATTAGGAGTAGTCTAGATGTGGCATAAAAATTCATCGAGGCCACTGTCCAATATTGGTCGGGTGTGTATGAAGATGTGATTTCGGACACATTTTAGGATGTGGTATTAATATCATAAAAATATTACCATGACCAAGCCCTTAAAGGTACTATGTTGGATTCACCTGAACGTTTTGTTTACTTTATCACGCTACAGCGGTTCAGTGAGCAGAGTGGTTGGACTGCTCCATTACAGTAAATATGGGTGTTTGGTGTAATTACTACTGAATGCCCGATCCCTCGCCTCATCTAGCACACACGTTCATGTGTCCTGGGTGTATATTGTATTCATACATTGCACATGTTTACAGGCTCGCAATCACTTCACTCACAAACATTACAAGCCCAAATTTACACGTCAATACACGTACAGTACAGCATGCACCCACAGTCATAATTCCTGCATTGTGTCATTGAAGTGTAAGTAGGTACACATATTGCAATCGACAGTACGGTACGTGAGAATGGAAACATGATTGACTGCGGAGCATGGCGAAGAAAAAGCTCTATTTTGTTCCTTTGTATAACTCTTATTCATAAGCAATACTTGACTTAATGAAACTTAAAACATTATTGAATCTAGGATTCACATAATGCTCAAAATTAAAGAAATCAGACACTTTTCCAATGATTTCGGTCTTCCCTATTGGCTTATAGTTATCGCAAGTTACTGTCGTCTCCTTGCGCGGGATTGAAGGGCTATATGCTGCTACCCCTCACACCAATAATGGAATCTCCCATTACGTCATTGCTAGTTTTCGATTTATCAGAGCTTTTCGTCAATTGGTGAAAACTATGGAAACAAAAAGGCAGAGAGGTTATTGGACCAATGACAATGATTTTGACATCAGCTTTTAGCTTAACATTAATGTCTCCAGATCTGCTCGCCCTAATTATTCAGATGTTATAGCCGTTTGAGCATGACCGTGCACATTTTTCAACACAAAATTTGGGCATCTGCCATAGACTTCTGTCTTAGAGAATGAATGCGTAACAACATTTAAGAACAAAAGGCAGAGGGGTTAAAAGCCCGTTAAAAGGTCCCCAGAAATAATTTCTACTCCACAAAATAGCAGAAATTCTCCCCTTTCAAATGCAACTCGCTCCATTTATAACGTTAATTGTAACTAATTGATGCAACAATGTCATATTTCGTAGTAGTAATACTTGTACGTGTTTCAGCGACGTGAGGCATAATGCATGGTCGTACAGAGGATTTATTTTATGTTGGGGGCCGGGGTAAAATGCAAGGAATTATTGAAAATGTATTGCATTTTCTTTGGGTTTTTTTTAATTTGTGGGAACTGCCCCCTACCCTAGCCCCGCTGCGTACAGTCATGGTTCAGAGGCCAAGCAATGGCCTCGTAACTGTGAGGCCCCAGGATCAAAACCGTGTCGATGTGCTATATTAATGCCTTTTTGAGGGGCATTAATCCTCATTACTGTCATTTATGAATTGAGGGCGTAGGTCTTCCAGTTAATAATCAGTCACGCAAAACAAAACACTGGCAAATTATTATTCAATAAAATCTGAGAAAGTATACTATTATCTAGATCTATTAGGAATAAATCATTGTCAAAATAATTCCATAAATTGGGGTAAAAAAAAAATCCAACTATATGATCGACAGTGTATTATTAAATTATACAGATGATTTATTTACACTTACAATTTATTGGGCTGGGAGCTATATGTACTTGGTGTAAAACACAGAATTATTTCATTTGAAGATACAGAGTTGTAAAAGATGTTGTATGCTATATGCATCTATATTTGTTCGACTTGATAATTTATTGTTTTTATATGTTTATTAAATTTAGGTTAAACCACTGGCTACCAGACATGTGCATGGTCTCAACTTGATGGACAGTCACCCTTTTGGTTTATTTCATAGTAGAGGTCGGGACTCCTAATATAAACCAACGTTCTATGCCCAATCATGACTCCGTTTGTGATTCTATCGTTGTTGCTTGTGCTATTTCACTCGGCTGTAGCTCAGCAGAATTCGACAGCCTGTGACGTGCAATGTTCCTACGAAGAAGACTTGCAGGAGACCAACTGTGATTCGAGACAATTCGAATCCATACCTATCGAATGTAGTCAATCTACATATTTGTCACTTCGTTATAATCAGATCGCTGAAATCGAACCTGGAATATTCAGAGATTTCCTTCATTTGGAGAGACTCATTCTGTCTCATAACAACATTTATCAAGTAAGTATATAACTGCAAAAGACACTGAGTAATACAGAATAGCGAGAACAAAATTGCAAAATTAACAGACTATTAAAGGATATGAGCATAGTTCAGTGCAAATTTTATAGCATATTTTTATTGATACAATCAAGTTTGGGTTGTCTGCAATGCTCAAAATTAATATTTTGAGAAAAGCAAGCAATAATAGACAATCTTGCAATTTGATGATACATTTTCTATAACAAATGTGGACGGTTTCTCTGAAAAATCAGAAATTCAAATATAAAGATTTACAAAATATTAATTCCATGTTGTGATCAAAAGGAGGCCATTGCAAGTATTGTTTAAAGGTAATACAACGTTTCGGTATGGGGTTATGAATTTGGTTCAAATGAACATAATTGGAAACATAGCGAGCCTACAATATTAAATGATCGTTGTCGCGGTTGAAATCGAGGCTAAAGTTATGAAATTGTAAATAATAAACTTGTTATGTTGTATAGCTCCCTCTCAAGGTCAAGATATTAATTACACTATAAAACAATGTTTCTTGACTGAAAACGACCGATTAGATATTTCCGCTCGGTAATTATATATCTCAACTACATATTCTGATATTTTTAGGGTCGCAGCTACCATTGTACGGCCGTAGGCGCTATTTGAAATTCATCAAAATTTACCGGAGCACCGGTAAATTGTTATATCTTATTTTTCTCAAAAGCAGAAGTGTTTTAAGGGCTAACTTTTCTAGTGCTTATAAGACATCCACAAAGGCATCCAAGGATATCAAAATTATAACGAATCACTATCCACCCAATTTTCAAAATTTCCCCAAACTTTGTATTACCTTTATGATTAAAGTATGTAAGATTTTGTTTTAGAAATGTAAAAAATAAAAAGGAAAAAACGTCCCTGAAGGTTTCCCAAAAATTATAAAAACTATCCATTCTCAATAAGAATTCTACTCATGGTAATTATCATAACTGTAGATGAAAAATTTAAAATAAATTTTATTTTGATTTCTATAGTCGTTTGGATTTTTGTTACATCTAACATTAACAAAAACCATAAACATGTTTATGTTTACTGTTAATGTAATGTTAAATCTCTATACAACAAGATAAGCATAAGACTAAAGAAATACCAATGGCAAGCAATTTGTGACATTAAAGATCAAACGGCATCATTAAACTAGTTCGTGAAAGGTCTGAGACATTAAAGAGAATAATTAAACAAGGAAATTCGACACATTTAAGTATTTTATAATTTCACATACCTTGTCATGACCTTGCTATGACATGTCATTGCAATACTATTAGTAGTATGTCTTGTGTTTCTCTTATTTTTTTTAGATTAATGCAAACACATTCAATGGTGCATATCAACTAGAAGTCATCGACTTGACCTACAACCATATACATACCTTCAATCGGGATGCACTAAATGGCACAGAGAACCTTCTTTCCATCGACCTAGGAAAGAATAACCTCAGTTCCATAGAGGGGGGGAATTTTCAACTAGCACTGAACCTAAAGATCATCGACCTCTCCTCGAACCACCTGACTTATCTCAGTCCTGCTGTATTCCAAGATTTAAAGAGTATTAAAAATATATTTCTTAACAATAACAAACTTGTTGATCTGCCTGAAAACATCTTCAAAGACCAGTCATCCTTGATCTACTTAGACCTAGCCAACAATTTTTTATCCAGCCTACCACGTGATATATTCAAAAATTTGGTACAAATAAATATACTTGATCTTGATGCAAACAGATTAACGGCTATTACTTTCACTCTCCCAACTATTTTATCTTTAAAGTTGCGTGACAATGAACTAAAACATCTCGGTAATGCTTCGATTGAAAACTGGACCGGCCGTGTTGGGAATCTATATCTAGAAGGCAACCCGTGGGCATGTAATTGTTCTTTTGAGCCTTTTCGTTCGTTCAGGTTCAGAGTGTCACCATACTGCGACATACGTGATAATCCGGTCTGTGCCAGTCCTCTGGTCCTTGTTAATCAGTCATTAAAAAATGTCAATCAGACATGTCCTCTTCAAAACATCAGTTCGACAACCGAAGTTACTAATGTAGGTGGAAGAAATGGCCATATCAGTGAACATTCGCGCTATTCCTTCTTTGCTTTGGTATTGCCTCTAGGCATAGTATTCTACTACTTATGGTGATTATCTACAGAGGATGTAGGCATGGCCCAACTATTTAACATTCGTACAATAATCAAATCACAGTTAAAGGACATTCGACAAAAAGGCCCTGTGATAGGACTCCAAGTAAGTGTCCCTTTATTAAACCCACCAGCCCCTCCGAGCAAAAACATTGGTAAAAGTGGAGATGGAATTGAATTAGAAATAAATGGGTGTAGGAGAAATCTGTGTGATGATTTTGGTTCCATCCCAGTTGACACGAAGTCAGGAAGCCACCCGTGTCTCAACTCCTCTAATGCCTCGTATTGACGCCATTTACATAACATATGTTTTAAAAAGTCCAGAGTATTTGTTCATTTGTTGTCCCATTTAGGCAACAAAAAAATCATTTGGTTGTCCTCGATTACTTTTCTGGAGTAGGAGCGGGCGGGCGGATTTTTTTTTGTGTGTGTGTGTGGGGGGGGGGGGGGTCTTTTTTGTTGGTCTTTCTTTAGTTATTTTTTTTCCATTCTCTTGATGAAAGAATAGCACGCATGTCTTGAACTTGCCCAAGTAGTAAGTCACAATGTAAAGGAGTAAGGGGCTTAATGAGCCCGAACGTACTTTATTACTAGAACCATACTAAAATGAATGCATAGACTAATAATTTTAGTCTTTGGTATTGTTGTCATGTTTGTGGCCTCACGTGAATAACCCATCCCAACTATTTTACAAATGGTGTCAAGGTAGATGGTGATGATTTTGTCAACCCTTTGAAATACCACTTCAAATGTTATTTGATTACAAATTAATACATGTAGTTCAAATTTGAAAGTATTTCTAGGCTCATTTTTTTTTTTTGTTGTAAATCTACATGTAATCCTTTTGAGTTACAAAGTTATTTGCATTGAACTTGGATGTGTTGCGGGATTGGCATAACTTTACTCGTTTGACTTTAACGAATTTTTAAAATGACGTTGATATATTATGTATTCAAACAGTTTATTTTTGTTATCTTTTATTTTTACTTTTTAAATCATATTTCAACTTGAGGTGCACTTGGCAGAGGCTCGCTTTGCTTTTTTCCGGTTTTGATAAAAACATTCCTCAAGGCTGTACGGTTCTCCTCTCTTTCTATTTTTCTTGCTCTACTCTGCCCTTCTCTACCATTCTCCTCCAATCATTCGTATATTCTTTGATCAACTTTTTTTTCTTTTTTCTTCTTCCTTCTATTACTCTTTCTAGTTCCGTCTTTCTCTCTCTCTCTCTCTCCTTTTTGATGACACAGAAGGTTTTTAAAGTTGTTAATATTTGTAATATATTTAAATTTTGATGTAATATTTGTAATATATTTAGATTTCGATGTAATATTCGTAATATATTTAGATTTTGATGTAATGTTTGTAATATATTTCGATTTTGATGTAATATTTGATTTTCATTTTGTTTCATTATAGTCGTACGTTTTAGTCATTCATATTTTGATCGTTTATTGTGTTGTATATTGACTTTGTAAATTGAATAATTTCAGCTTCTCAGCTCTCTGCTGTTCTTTTATTTCAATAAACCGAATCAAATCAAATCAAATCAAATTACGTTCTCTACAGAAAGTTTAATACAAGTGCACTTCAGTCAGACATTGAAATAAACTGGACCAATAATATCAGACGTGTATGTTGACTCTGACGGATGTTATATTGTAATACCTTTCTTACGCAGGCGCGTACACAGGGGGGGGGGGTGTTAAACCTCCCCTTTGGTATTTTTATGTGTGTAAACCCCCCCCCCCCCCCCCCCCCCCCCCCCCACCCCCTAACCCCCCCCCCCCCCCCCATTTCGGATTTTTTTTTTTTTTTTTAATTATTTAAAAAAAAAAAAAAAATTATTCCCATGGCTGACCTAAAAAAGTGACCTTACCCCCCCCCCCCCACGGAGCCAAATGTCAAATTTTCAAATTTCGAGACCAAAAAAACACAAAAAACGTGTCCTCTTACCACCCCCCTCCCCCCCCCCCCCTTATTCAGCGGCTGGCTGAGTCGTGAAATTTTCGGCCCGATTTATAAATGTTAAACCCCCTCCCCCCTGAAAAAAATCCTGCGTACGCGCCTGTTTTTACGTACATGTAGTTTCAAGATTGCTATTACATAAGATTTTGAATACATATGTATTTCGATCAAAGTCATATGTGATGAAGAATTTCCCAGAGGAAATATTAATTTAAAGGTTAAAATAATAATAAGCAAATGCTCACGATTAATACAAGAAATCGTGATTTCACAAGTAATTACAGTACTATATCTCTGAAAACCTATCGTCATTTGGGACAAACATTCCACATTATGTGGTTTGACTCAGTAACTTTTGATTCAGATCATTAAAAATATACCAGATGGATGAATATAATTATGTAAAAGCCAAAAATTATTTTCCATTTTTGTTGTTTAACCATATTTGTTTGACGTTAGGAATTTTAAAAAGGAAAATTAGCTTTGAAGTCATCAAATTGACAACATATCGAAAGGTTCAAAATCATTATTTTTCAATCGAAATTGGCAAATTTTAATGTTTTCCACAATTGATGTTTTCAGAGACATTGGTTTTTTTTGTAGAACAACGTAAGACACGTAAAATTGTTGCCAATTTGAAGTACAGTATGTGATCAATTTAGCCCTAAAAATCCCTGTTTTAACGAGTTAAATATAGGAGGTAAGAAGGAATATGAAGTCTGGGATATGACTGAGTAATGATAAAGAAATCAATTGGGTAGATTCAAAATGAGTGAAGCAGAAAACGAAGTGTAATTACTTTTTTTGCCTGTGTGCATACCTGCATGTAAACTAAAATTGAGAGGCTTACACAACCCAGTACTCGGATGGAAACAAAATACTGTTGCACAATAAATAGGCTGAAGCGGTGAGTAAATAATTTAAGCCTAGAAAGTTGCGATCAGTCTTGTAAATAAAATAGTATTTCATTTTGTTTACATTTGCATTTTATCATTCATCACTTGACTACCTTATTAAGGAAAGTACTTTCACTTAGTGTTTTGTATACTGGTCACACTCTTACTAAGAGTAATTTTGCTGAAAGAAAACAAACATGTCAAAGGGTCTCATGATTATAAAAAATACAGGGTTTTATTATATTGTACATAAACTCAGCAAAAAAAAATAAAGTGGACACTTTTTAATGATCACTTTTCATGAGTCAATAAAAATTCATTCTCTACCAACATTATTACAGTTCAGGCTTTGAACTTAGACGCTTGGATAGGCACATTCATTTAACTGTTAGAACGTCTTAATAAGAAATTACAAAAAATATCAATGAGTCACTCAAATGTTGATGAATATGTGCATCTGTAAGATATTCCTGTTCAACAATAATAACTAAGAATGAGTAACAATGACGAGGATTGAGCTCAGGAGGTTAACTGTAGTCTCGGGACGGCATGGCTTTGACAAGCATGGTCAACATGCCTTTTCTTTTGTGTTGATGGAAATGTTCATCTAAATGTGAATGGCAAATGCCCCATTTTTTCCATTTTCTTTCAGATACTTCATGCTCCAACTGCAATCATCTTAAATAGGATCAATTTGTGTGTGATATAATTGAAAAATAAATTATATTCAATGTTTATTTCAAAAGTCGTAATTATAAATCGTTTCCATTTTCTTTTTTTTTTGCATTTTGAGTGTATAATAATTCTATTTTTGTTTTTATATATACCTTTTTTCTGCCATATGTTTATGTCCTATACTACAATGTATTTTAATATCAATATCCATTGTCAAAATAAAGATAATTGAAAATTGTTCCGCTGCATCATTATTGAAATGCAAACTTTACGACGTTTTGTAACTAATAGATTCATTTAGAATTCAAACATTACAAAGTGAAACCCATTTTATTTCTTGTTTTTATTTCTTCATTTTGATTTCACTTAAGTTCAAATAACACATTGACTTAATGTACCTGCCCACACACACACCCACGCACACGCACACACACACGCATACACACAAATATCTCCGAAAAGGTGAACGGTTTCCTTTATGAACCAAACATAAAACTGTGCATACATCTTTACAAAACACGAACTCTAACTCTAAATGTAGGACCCTGAAGTGAGTGAGCTTTTTTGCATATCTTATTCAAAATAAATGGGATTACAAAAAAAAAAAATACACCAAAATGCATGCAATTGATACAAATGTCATTTTAAAAATATACTCTATAATATTGTAACATAATTTTGCCAATACTTAACTTTCTACTTTTGAGAATCTGATGAATCATTCGTATGCAACTCAGAGAAAAGATGAATACTTTAACAAAATGATATGCAATACTGATGAAGAATACAACAATGCACTTAATGTATGCTTGAATTTATTCTATTCCTGTCCTATACATGTTTATCCCCCCCCCCCCCCCCCCCCCCCTACGTAAACACACTGTTTGGAGTTCAAGCTACGGTCACAAAGGTTCTTACGAACGATTATTTCGTACGAATCTCCCTGTTTTTCCATTGTTTTCCCGAATTTCCATTGTCTGAAAATCGTTCGTACGGCATTCGCAGCAGCCCGTAGCGGTATTTGTGACCGAGGCTTTAGGTGAACTTTGGACCATCATGATAGCACTTGTGATATTGCAAAAAAAAAAGCGGGAAACTTCAACGAGGTCAAATTGTTGGCGTAACTGTACATGCACAGTACGGTACCGTGGTATGGATTACGTACTGAATCAACCAAGTGAACATTTAGTTTCAAGCAACAGTTAAAGATTTTGATTGCATTGGAAACAGATTTGATGAGCGATGTACCAAGAACTAACATGACATGTGTTAAAATTGGAATTAAGGCCGTATTTGAATATTGTGTATCAAATCTAGGTCGAATAAACCTACTGAAAACCAACGTTCTATGCCCAATCATGGGTCCATTCGTGATCATATCGTTGTTGCTTGTGCTTTTTCACTCCGCTGGGCCTCAGCGGAATCCGACAACCTGTGACGTGCTATGTTCCTACAAGAAAGACTTTCAGCAAGCCAACTGAGAGATGAGACTACTCGAATCTATACCTATCGAATGTAGTCAATGTAGATATTCGCACTTAGTCATAATCTGATCATTGACATCAAACCTGGAATATTCAGAGAATTCCTTTTTTTAGGCAACTTATACTGTCGAATAACAAAATTGTTCAAGTAAGTACATTTCAAATGACATGAGTAGTACAGTAGCTAGAAAATGAAAGCAAGATTAACAGACTAAGAATATGAGCATAGTTCAGTGCAAATTTATAGCATAATAATATTGTATCGATACTCCAAA